CCCTTCAGTGCCCTTGACTTTCTGTTTAGAATATGGACCATTTTAATATTAGAAACACAATTAACACATTTTAGTGTGCTGGTTTCCATTTCCTCTCTTCTTCCATCCTCTGACCTCATAGGCACCGGTCTCCTCTGTGCTACATAGTATGGCACAGATGAAGGCTCAGAAAATACAAAAACAAAAACAAAAAACAAAAAAACCCCAAAACCAAAACAAAAAACATGTGCTCACCAGTGACGCATGGCAACTATGAGAAGCAATGATTATTACCCAAGATTACCATATGGCAAAAAGAGCAAGAGAACAGGAGGTCATTGCTGAGTGCTGTGGGAACAGTCAAGATGAGTGGTGATCACACTTCACACTGATGTAGCCCTTTCCTGGGCTAGAGATCCATGCCAATGGTTAACAAGTACAGGGAAATCTTCCTCTCAAGGGTTAGTTGGCAAAGTCTGGAGACATTTCAATTTGCTTGAGTTGGAAAGGGATATGTGTATTGGCATTCATGGTACCACACAGAGGCCAAGGATGCTGCTCAAACCTCCCACAGTGCACAAGACAGACATATCACAGAGTTATGCAAGTCTAGGTATCAGTGATGGCAAGGTTGACACCCAGTTGCCTACAACTGTTAAGACCCTCTTGATGGCCCTTTGGAAGGCATTTTATCTATTAACTAAGGAATCTGTTACATAGTCCTTAAGCCTAAAATCAAAATCTTTTTTCTCCCCATAAAAAACGAATTTATTTACCTCACAGTTTCAGAGGTTTAAAAGCATGGTGCCTGCATCAGTTCAGATGAGGATTTCCTCTCTGCCATTACCTCACAGCCAACAGCAATGGTGGAAATGCATGTAGAACAACTGATAACGGCTCTATCCAGGAAGCCATAGAAGACTGACTGGGCCAGGCCAGTTAGAGGGAAATCCTGATATAGATGATTTCCAGTTGCAGGTAACTGAGTGGTGTGCCTGCCTCTCCACAGGCAGCATTATTCATGGTCTAGTCACAATCTCACTGCTGCCAGCCTATCACAGTGCAGAAGACAGGGCCACCACTCGACAAACACCATGAGAGTGAGAAAGCACCTTTGTGTCACTTCTAAAGGCAGAGAGTCAAGCTGTTACTCTGTTGTGCCACAGTGCATGCCTCGTTTTTCTTTTCTATTATGTCTTAGGGCATCTGGTGGCTTCTCCCCAGCTTTCCATGCTCATTTTAAGTTGGATCCTAACTAATAAAAACTGGAAAGTGTTTATGTTTTTGAAGAAGTTGTGTTGAATTTCTTCCCCCAAATTCATGTTCTGGAAACCTGGCTTTTGGTGGGATGGTTTTAAGAGTTGGTGGGCCTTTGTGAGCTGGGCATCACGGTAGCTTGGGTCTGAAATGTGTTCTCAATGTCCTTGTAATAAAGCTTTGATTCCTTGCCTGGGGCTGCTGGGAAGTGCCGGAGCCTATCTGAAGGCTTTTAGGTTGGAAGCATGCATGCCTTTGAAAGGGACTTTGGCTCCTCGGTTTTCCATTCTTCTTTTCAACTGCCTGATCATGAGGTGAGAGGCTTTTCTGTCACATGTGCCCATTTCACTGTGCCACAGGGTCACCCAGTCATGGACTGACACCTTTGAAATTCTGAGCAGTGTAAATCTTTTCTCTCTACATGATCATCATGTTGGGTATAGAGGCTTGGGGAGGAACACAAACTTTGTGGATGAGACTGACATTGTTCTCACATCCAGGATAAATCTCTAGTTGGTGAGTGGTGGTAAAGGAAGTTACCTCATGTGCTTGGTTCCTTCTCTACCTGACTGTGTCTCTTTCTTATGCATTGTCATGCTGTGATGTAGACACCAGTGGCTCTTAGCAGATGCCGCCTGAATGCCACTTAAGCTTTCTAACTACTGGAATCATGAGCTAAATCAACCCATGTTCTTTATAAAGCATTTAGACACAGAAACACCACACAGACTGAGACAGTGAAAGGAAG